TTATCTATGCCCTTTTTAAAAACACCTTGTGTTTTTCCAGAGAACTTAGAGCCCATAGATTCTTTATTAAAATTATTTTTGCCCTTAGGCTTGAATTTTCTAGGACTTTCCTTCTCACCCATCATCACAGTGGGTTGGCTCCTTTTAATAAGATCCTCTGCTGCTTGCAACATATTGAGCAGCTCTGATGGTGCAACAATCATCTTATTCATATTGTAATTCAAAATAAACTGATTATAAAAATCTGGTAAAGATGAAAGTATCGCATCAATTTTGGTTTCACCATCAATATCTGCACCCAAAGTTTCTAGTATGTTAATGAAAGATATCATTTTTAGAACATGTTCCCGTACTGGAGTACCTTCCACCATTTTAGTGGACATCAAACCTTTGATGGCAATTTCTGCTCAGTTCTCCAAACATTTCTTTCAAGTTAACCATCATGTCTTTTGCAGTAGGAACACCCTCATGCTGCTTTTGCAACACATTGGTCATTGAGGCCAATATGTAGCATTTTGCAACATCATCTGCCTCATGCCACTTCCTAACAGCCTCACGTTGTTCATCAGTGGCATCCGCCTCAGGAAGCGCAGGTGGATTAGTGGTTAGGACATGGTTCAATTTTTCAACAGTGAGGACAATTGTTAAATTTCTCTTCCAGTCCACATAGTCTGATCCAGTCAAACGATTATCGTCAAGAATTTTGGACAAAGGATTAAAGTTGGTCATTTTTAACTACATATGTTAAAAATTAAAACATGCGTCAGAAGAATATAAGTATTGCATTGTATATAAATCCATAGGATGCGAGATTTTGAATCTAGTATGGTAATACTCATGAGAATTATCATTCAAAACAATCACAAATAATTTAGAACCCCCACAAATATAACACTTATATTTAAAACATTCATAGTGAGCATTGGGAAATCAATCCTGCATGTACAAAAATTTCTTTTGAAATAAATGAACATACCTTGAATCAGTGGGTAGCTGCTGCCCATCATAATATCATCTCATGTTATCATTTTTCTTTTTCTTTTAGAAAAATTAAATTTATTTATGACTCCTAATTTTTCTTTTGGCCTCCAAATCAACTCGTATGACACCTTTTGATTACCATTTAGTATTTGTCTAAGTGCAAACCATTGTTTAGATGCATAGCATAAACGTGTAAGATTATGCTTTTATTTTAGCTGACACTCCCACTAGTCACAATTTTGCTTTTCACAAAATAAATAAAACAAACTAATTAATTAAAACCCAACCGGCCCTTTTGGTATCATTTGAATCTCAATTAATCAGAATTTTTATTTACCAACAATGGAGGGCCATAGGCATTATTTTTTCTTAAAATAATCCTATTTAACACTTAATTATTAAAATGGGGTACCAATAACATTTATAACTAATTTATCCCCATAAATTAGCAAATTAATTTTCATGATATCATAAGTAACATGAAACCCACAAATATATATATATATATATATCTGTTACATACCATCAGCAGTAAAAATAAATAAATAAATAACAAAAACGGGTGGTTTGTCTTAGAGGTTAAGGGGAAAAACTTTTAAGATCTTTTGTATATAATTTGATTAGCATTTCATAATATAATTTTGCTAAAAATCTAAATTTAATAGTGACAATATTACCTAAGTCGCAAGATCAAAAATCTTCTATACTCGCAATCATCTCTTACACCATAAGTGACGATTATCTAATATTTAATTTAATTCATGCGCAAAAAATTGGTTTTCGAGAGAAAATCTACAAAGATTTTTCTCAACCAAACAACCTCTCATTGACTATGGCATGTCTAAAGTATGATAAAACATTAATTTCATATGATAACATCTCAATGTAATTCATAAAAGAAAACATGCTATAATATTTAATCATGGAATTAAAATTCATCAATATAAATAAATCATGCTATTTAAAATAACAATATACTACAAGTTCTAATTATTTAAAAGATCTTCACATGTTGTATACAATATTTAAATAATTTCATAGCATATTTCTATAATTTCTGTGATTTTCTAAATTTTTTTAGAATTATAAGTAATTAATAATTACACAAAAAATCAGAAATAAATATTATAAAATCTGAAAAAAAAAAACAAAAAATTATACTAGTAAATAAAATTACATAGCAGTAGTCTACTGTAAAAATTTCAAGTCCAGAATCCAAGTCATGCTTCCGCAAGAACAATTTAACGTAAAAATATTGAAATATTCATTAATGAAAAATATTTTATTTTCCATAAAATTCTGAAACTTAAAAATTTTGTAGAACAGTTAATTAGAAGTCCAGCAGTATAAGTCATGCTTCAATAAGAATTATAACAAATAATATAGAAGCAATTAACGTAGTTTTAAATTAAAAATGAAACAAACAGGGCCTTAACAGTCCCATGCCTGCATGAGTGCGTGGTAGAAGAGGATGACGTCATCACGCGTGTCAATGACGTTAGCGCACGGATCAGCAGGACCCTTTTCTTTTAACTCTGGCCTAAAAGATTTGAATTTTCTATTCCACCGAAAATCGTAATCAGACGCGCAATGTATTGTTTCGAAAGTGTTCAAACAAAGATTTCAAATATGTAATTTTTATAACATAAAAATGAAGCACGTAAAAATAGCATGCAATTAAAGTTATGAAAAATAAATATAAATCTCAATTTTTTTTTTTCAAAATTCGATCATCTGATTTTTGAAAAACTTTGCAAATATACTCTATATTATATGGAGCACAACATATATGAAATTCAAAATGATCAGAGATGGTGTAAAAAATATCAATTTTAATGCACAAATCATATCTATACATATATTCATGTATAAATAATACAAAAACACCCAATTGAGGGAAAAAAATAAATAAAAATATTCAGTTTGTTTAGTTTCGTTTTTTTGAAAACAGTTTTTAAAAATATATTCATGCTTTGCTAAATTTTGATTGTTTCACAATTTAAGATCACGCGTGCTATGCCATCTGTACTGAAAATTAATGTGTTTTTCTTAGAGAAACAAGGATTGTTCTCTTATATTTTCTGATCTAGTGGTTGCTTTCAAATAATGTCAATTACTTTTGTATTGTTAATAAAAAAAAGGTTGGAAGCTAATGCAAGAATATTCTATTGGAAATTAGTAACATTGTTTGTTTAATTAATTACCTCTGTGATTTTGATCATGGACCAAAACTTAAACTCAACAAGGAAAATATGGTTAGATAGACAAACCAAGAAAGCAACATGTTCAATTTTCAAACCACAATAGTGATTGATCACATGGGCTTAATTAGCCATTGTCAATGTAAACAAAGATGAGGTTATATGATTCAATCCATCTTTTCTTATCAAAAAACATAATTGATCCTATCTTTGACTCTTACAATGCATAATGCTTTGAATATGAGCCTATGCACAATGAATGATCTTCCATGCTGTCTATAATGTCTAAAAGTAAACTTTGTTTAACCTTTATCCCAACATAATTATAGTTGATGAAGTGAAATGAGCTGAATTAAAAATTTGTAACCCGGTTCGTTTAATAAACTTCATTTTATATGTACTTATTTGGCTAACTTGACAGAATCTAAACCCTAAATAGGCACTATAATGTGTTTCTATAATAATGACTATTTTTTTTAGCCAAACGGTAGGAGATTTATTGCTAATATCAGAAAATTACACAATAAATTCAGAGCATTTTATTGGCTTCAATGATGCGAAGATAATGGAGAATTGAGAGCTCATGTTTCATTTTCTGTGATGTTCTTCATAGCATTGACATAGGGAAAGGCTAAATTTACAAAAACTTAAGCCATTGCTTAGATTTGCTTCTACAAATAACTATGAGATATGTACTGAAATCTAATGTATTTTTCTTATATAAATATAATAGCATCCACAAAATCTCAACATATTTTGTATTGTAAAAACAGGTTGGAAGCTAATAAATGAATTTATGTATTGCAAATGGTCAACGTGTTTATTTAATTAATTACTACTATGATTTTCATGAACCTAAACTTACAGGAAAATAGTTTTAAGGTTGACAAATCGTGAAAGCAACATGTTCAATGTTTCAAACCACAATAGTAATTAACCACATGGATTTAATTAGCCATTTTAATTTAAATAAAGATGGGGTTATATAATATCCATCTTTCTTGTCGGAAATCTGTATTGGATCCTTGACTCTTAAGATATATTAATTCCTTTAAAAATGAACTTATGGGGATATATTTTCTGAGTACCAACACGTGGCAAGGTGACGCCGAAGTGTCAGTCGAGGTGCCACGTGTCTTGGTCGTTGTGCCGAGGTCATCTCGGCTAGGCCAAGGTTGCCTCCGAAGATATCGGAATCCGAGATAAGCGGATAAGGGACAAGAGTCCTAGAATGAAGAGGGAACTCAACTTGGATATGGACAAGAGTCCTAGATTGGGAGAAGACTTCAGTTTGGGTAAAGATAAGACTCTTAGAGAGTTTATCCTAATCCACTGGGAGTCCCAAATTAGCAGTAATCCTAAGTCCATTAGGGCCAGGCACCTTTTGAAACTAGGATTGTATTGGCTATAAAAGAGAGGCATCCCCATGGGTCTAAGGTATGCTTTTGATACTCAAGCTTGTGAGTTTAGTACTTGATTTATCTTTGAGAGATATACTGACTTGATCGTCGGAGTGCCCCCGGGTGGTCGAAACCACCGCGGGATTCTTATATTTCTGTTGCAGGTCAGTCAGGTGTCATCTATTCTGCCAGTGCTCTCCAGCTGGTTACTAAGCGGGCAGTGTGGTCGGAAAATCACCCACACAATTTGGCGCCGTCTGTGGGAAAGAAAGAAGAATAGATGGCCAATAACGAACAGAAGGCTCAAATTAAAGATAACGCTCCTGCTGGGAGTCGGAGACCTATTGATCTCGATGTTGAAGGGGATGACCGCAACACAGAAACTCGTGACCAGAGTCACAGAGTGAAAGACGCCGGCCAGGAAGGTGACGCACCAAAGACAACAGATCGAAGCGGATACCACAACGAAGATGACCTCCAGGTATAGAAGGATAGATACCTGCGGATGAACGAAGACCCTTCCAGAAGTGATGCAAAGACAGGGGCATAAGCGCTCCCAAGAAGATAACATTCAAGTATAGAAGAACTCATCCTGAGTGAGCAGATCTCGGATTTCAGATCCTGGATCCCGAATCCGAGAAGACATGATCTCAGCCTAGACAAGTAGGCCGGAGAAGACGAGAGCTCAACCTAAGTGAGAAAATCCAAGATTCCAGAAGATAAGATCTCGGCACCTGAGTCCGAGAAGAGAAGAGCACGATGAGCAGATCTCAGATCCCAGAAGATAAAAAGGAAACACACAAGATCAGACTAAAGTTGGCCAGAATTGAGAAGTATGCTAGGGCCGAGGAAGACATGCCGGGAACAAAGCCGTTGGAACAAGAAAAGAGAAACGGCTCGCCGATGCGAGGCCGAAAATCAAACTCAGGTTGGAGCCAAGTAAGATCAATAGAGAAACCCAGGCCGGCAACCTCGGCTTGAATTAAACCTCGGCGACAAGGTTGAAGCTACATGTATGATAAGAACCCAAGTGGATTTTAAGTTCACACTGGGGGGGCAGAGAGAAGAAGAATGCGTTTACCACTTGTTGAAATTTGTAGCAATTTACAAGTTGGTTAAACCAATATGATGCTTAACCGAAGTTAAG